AATTGTGTGTTTGAATTCCGCCACTATTGGTCAAGCATTTCGATCTTCCTCAAGAGTCATTGATTGAGAACAACCATCTTTTTGATATCTGACAGTAGCATTGTTCAACTGATAACTAATCAGTTCAGTTCAGTTTTTGCAACCATTAACCATACACCTCCGTGCCTCGGTTTTGGTTGCCATCTTTTGGTCGCCCATTTGGATAAAAGAGCAGAATGAAGATTGGGATGTTAAAAGCAAAGGCAAGCGGAAGATGAATAACTCATATAGATTGGTGTTAAGTGAATAATGCGTTGATGCCCGGGCGCTATTTTTTTGACACCCAGCCATATTACACAGTGTCTCGATAACTGATAGAAAATAAAGACGTTCTTCCAATAAGCGCTGCTTAAATCATTGAATCAAGATGAGAAGAACAACAGAGAGCGGTTATGATCATTTTGTGTGTGTGTGTGTGTGTGTGTGCGCGCTCGCTAATAAATGAATATAACGACAAAAATGCATATTGATTTGGTAGTTGTGCTGTCATCAGTTAGCAAGTTCGGACGACTACAAAAGTTCTTTCGAGTGTGAGAGAATCTATCACACTTAAAAAATACTATAACAAAGGACTAATTAAACCGAAAATCATCTCATTCCTAAAGTCTTTATTGGATTAGTGAATTACTTTCATGATGATAACAACCAGAAAAGGAAATAATGAAAAACTTGATTATTCCCCGACACACTGCAATTGTTAGCTGGCCTCGACTGTTTGACTAGCATAATTTTCTTGCATGAATACGACTGTGATGGAAGGCGAACGAATCCTCCAAAACATAATCGCCAACAACCTGTGTTCTGATTACTACAGTAGGCTTGGTTTGTGGTAACATTGTGTATTTTGCTGTGCGGTTATACGAACAAACAATGATAATGCACGGAGGAGCAATCCAAGTTCACATCCCATAGAACTCACTTTAGCCATATCAGATAAGGAACTCCATTCCGGTCGGGTGGTGTCAAAACGGCCCGAGTCGATACGAGATAGAATCACTTCCGGCCGATCGTCCGGACGTAACGAGAACGGGGCTTGTCCGATGAGCATACAGTAGACGATAACACCCAGACTCCAGACATCACAAGCGGCCTGATAGCCCTGCATCTTCAATACCTAAAGAAAAATGGCCAATTTGAGAGGTAGCAGTTTAAATGAGTGAAATGTGAACACAATAGGCAAAAATAGTTAGGAAGGATGTTCAGAAAACAGTTGAAATCAATCCAGGGAAACGAGATCAATCCACCTACAACAAATTGGTTCACGAAGAATGACAGAAATAGAAACACTTGTTTTACCATTAGTTTTAAATAGAAAAGATTACGCTCTGGCTGAATCTCACCAGCCAACTGCATGAAAGCATGAATTGCAATTCACTCCAAATACCGACTGTAAAGGGCTTTTCTTTCTAGATATGAACGTAATCAAACATGATATATTTGCACAACAGCATAGCCCATTAAGGGTGTTCCATTTATCACAGTGTGTTTGGATGAAATCACTAACATTGTTTCATCAGCACCAAGATTCATTGTGCATTATTGACGACTTGCTCACTTCCTACCATGTTTCGGCATCTTGTACCTTCCAAATGTCGCACATCATCGTAATATCAATATTACGATCGCTTCATATTGATAGTCGAAGTTGTGTCCAGGCTTACGGCACATTTTCACCTGAGTTCACCACGGGAAATGATGTTCTTCAGGGCTTCCCCTCTCACCCTTTCTAGTTAATTTTCTTATAGACCGGAAAAAGGGAAAAACCCTATCTTCGTACGAGGATAGTGGCCTCGATTTACTCCCAGTTGAGAGGCTGTCTGATCTAGAGTGTGCAGAAGACATTGTGCTACCAAGTGAACATCCAAGAAAGTAGCAAGCTTCTCTGGATAACCTGAGCGCAAGCGTAGTCATGTTCGCTATGCATTTTGCACCTTCAAAGTGTAAAATGTCACTTCAAGACTGGGTTGGTCCAACGCTCAACCTAACCCTAACTGCAGAAGTAATAAAACAAATGGATACGTTTTGTTACTTGGGCAGCTACATCTCACCCGGTGAACGCATCACGGATGAAGTGTCAGCTCACATACAGAAGGCTCGCTTGGCGTTTACCAATTTAAGATATCTGTGGGGCCGTCGCGACATGGGGCTGTCTGTGAAGGGTCGATTGATACCGCCGCAGTTCGGCCAGTTCTGCTATACGGCGCAGAAACTTGGCCACTAAGGAAACAGGGCAAAGATAAACTGTCGGTGTTTGAACACTGTTGTCTACGTCACATTGCACGAACCTGGTGGGGTAGCCGAACGAGCAATGCCGACGTTAGGCGCAGTTTTAGGTGAATGTTGTCGCCTACCATAGATTATCTTGGTTGGGTCATGTGTTATGCATGTCATCAGATAGGTTGTGACAGAGATAGCGCACGGATGTACAAACTGAAAACCCTATGACCCTAGGCTCTAACACCACTACCACCATCCATCTTTGCCGATAGACATCTTTGCTCTTATTCGGTTGAAAACCACACCGAAACTAGCAAGACCTTTTGTGATTTGCCACTCCAAGTCCTGGGGTTAAGGACGCCGGTTTCCATCACTGAACGGCAGGTTTTCGTAATTACGATGTACATACAGTCTACTGTTCATCACTCAATGGTGTGTCATAAAAATACCGGTCACTTAAACTGTTTTGCGTCTTCTCACGTAGGGAGGTTCCTTGGTGAAGTTATTCATTTGTCTCACCATTAGTCCTAACCAATAATTCTTTACATAATTCAATAGATAAAATGACCAAATGTTTGAGATTGGAGAAATTTAAAAATATGGTTATCAATTCTGTATTAAAAATTAGTATAGCTCAAAAAGGAACAGAGAGCAGCGGACGGAGAGAAATGTATCTAAACCCCAAGTTATATTTGATCCATTCTCAAACAGGATGTACTATTTTCTCAGTCGCGACTTTTGAGAACAGATCAAGGTATTGAGGTAAACTAAAGTCGATGTGAAAATGCTCGAACAGCCTAGGAGAGAGAACGGATTTTACATTCGTTACTGGAATAATAAAAGTATTATAAAGGTCCTGATCACGAAAATGATTAGTTAGACTCAAGAAACTCGTACGCCATTGATAATAGAACCGAAATCCGTAATTTGCTCTAATGACCTTTTTTGAAGAAATAATTTCATTCTCCAAAGCTTGATTGGTGAGTGATAGGTTGGTGCTCATGGTCATTATACCAGTGGCTCGGAAATTGTGTGTTTGAATTCCGCCACTATTGGTCAAG